ATAAATTGTTGGTTTATATGAAACTATAATTGAGGTTTATACTAATTTGCCTAATTTTATAGATTTTAGTTATATTAAAAAAATATAGTAGGGCTGGGGTATAACTCAGTGGTAGAATACTTGCTTAACATATGCAAGGCCCTGGGTTCAATCCCTAGCACTACCAAAAGAAAAAAAAAAAAGTTTCACAACAAATAAGGCCACTTTCTTTCTGAGATTTACCCCTTTACCACCACCACCCCTTTTGTCCATCATCCTCACTTTTTTCTGAACATTTTTTCTCATTGCTCCCTCCCATTATCTGTCTATTTCATGTACCACATTCAGAAAGACTGAAAACTGCTAACTTTCCAAATCCTCAAGACCTAATGGTTAATTACATTGCTCTTCTTTTTCTACTCACCTTCCCTTTTACTGTGAATTGTATAGTTTAATTCTAAACTCATATGGTTGATTTTTTCCTTTTTTTCCTGGTGCAATAAATTTGACCAAGAGTGTACCTGATGGTGGTAGTGTGAATCTCTGTTGCCATATCATATTATGGAGCATCAGTCTTTTCTACATCTCTATCAAAATACGCAATGCTGTTAAGTCTAATAAGATTAAAGAATAAATTCCAGAAATCAGGATGCTCAGCCTTAAAAATGTGTTTCTCCAGAACAAGTTCTGCTACTGAAATTATCTCTTTCAGTGATCAGAGTTCAAGCAAGTAAAGCAAATTTATTACAAGAAATTGGTTTATATGATTGCAGGGGTTGGCTGGTAAAGTCCAAAATCTGTAGGGAATATCCTTGGGGATAGCAGGCTGGAGCTCACAGCACAGATTGATGCTGCTGTTCATGCATGGATTTTTGTTGTTGTTATTTTAATTTAGAGAAGCATCAACCTCTACTTTTAAACCTTTCTAGAATGTATATGTTATCACAGGCAACATTTAAATGTAATATATTACTGGAAGCTATGTAAAAAAAGCAATGCATAACATAGTAGATTATAATTTCTCAGAACAGTCCATTGATCATGTCTTAGCAGCAAATAATCAATTCATTGAATTGGACCTATGATAAAAGGGAAAGAGTCAGCTTTGATTTAGTTTAGAGGAAATACTGCCAGATTTAGAGTCATCAGTCCTAGTTTTGATATTTTGTTCTGCTATTTACAGGCTGTATATCTCACTTGTAATCATTATGAACCCAGATAGTTTCTTCTTTAAATGAACATTTACTATGACATGATGTATATATGAGAGAGAAGGGCCAAACTAAAATGATAGCTGACATAATTTCAGGTACAAGGATGTGCTTATCTAAGTGATTATTGAAGATATCATGACTATAATAAATTTTACAATTATTTTATTTGAGGAAATCCTCTAAGTCTTAAATGGAGTTTAAGAGATATTTCTAGGAAATATGCTAAGATAATAACTTATACAATTTGAAGGATTTACATGATTCTTTTCACTAAAATGTTCAGTGAATTTAGTTTATTTTCATAAAGTATTTGAGTACTTTCTAAATAATGATAATGAGAAAATATGTGTAAGTGAAACCTTAAATCCTGCCTTCTAAGATTTCAGTATACAAGTGACAAAAAGAAACATAGAAAATAATATTAAAAATTCAAGATACCAAGGACAATTAATAGTTTCTACCATAATTTTGGTGGGTATCTTGATCCAATATCACTGACTCGGCCATCAGGGCAAGAAAGGGAAGAGTCTATACAACCTGATGGAAATAGGACATGGAAGTAGAGAAGACAGAGCCACACCAAAATTGATGTCACTGTGGAAATCAAATAGAAATGTCTAAGAGATGCTAATTTCTGGGGACAAGAATTTTTTTATAAGAGCAAATGAAAAAATTCATCCAAATTCGGTAATAAAGAAATAGCACAACACCAATGTTAGCCATTAGTTTGCAAGAGAGAGTTAAAAGAAACACTTTTGAGTCTAGTGAAATTGCTGGTTATAAAGCCAAGGGACAGAAAGTGAGGTCTCACTAATAGTATAGAGGACTGACGTTTGGAGCAAAGAAATAGCATGGGCAATTGTGATTCGGAAGGAATGTGACAGCATAAGAACCTGGATGTTATAAGGTAGTGCTGTAAGCTATGTTGGGGTGAATTTGAAAACCCCTGAGAATTTCCACAGGACTGTGGTGGGAAGGTAATTGGGTCTGTGAACATTCACCGCGATGGGTATGATAATTGGGCTTGCTGAGAATTCTAGAAGTTGAGAGGTAGTTGGGTGAGAGTATGGAAGAGGGCTCTGCAAGTTAGAAACTGGGATAATGGTAGTTCTCTCTGATTGAGGGGTTACGTACTCAGAGAACAGGTGCTCACCACTGGGATTAGTATTGTGAAAGGAACGCCGATTAAGGTAAAAAGATGGAGTACTAGTTGGGTTTAGTAGCCTACCCTGTAACCCCAGTTACTCAGGAACCTGAGGAAGAAGGATTGCAAATTTGAGACCAGCCTCAGCAAGAGTAGAAGGGACTTAAAAAGGCATAGTGTTTAAAGGCTTAGGTAGGTTTGTATATCTGCAGAGGAATCCAGTGGGCAGAACAGGCAGCAGGAGTTGGCTTGGCTGGCAGAAATGAAAAAAAAAAAACATAATAATAAGCAACAGAACTAAAGGTAATAGAGGGCGAGGGCACAGTAGAAGGACACATGAGGAAGACTAGACCAGGGTGTGTAGAAGAGGCCAGAATGCCACGTTGTGGTCTACCTTCCTATTAGAAAGATTGTACGGAGATGATGAGCTATGGAAGAAAAATACAGTCTGAGATTTGCATGTGTAATGATTTTTTTTTAATGTGGTTTGTGAGGAAAGAGAATTTAGGCTGATTTATGGATTTGTATTTCATGGCTTTTGAACATAAGCTGCTTTCTCTTATTATTCAGGAGGGTGAGTAGGAGTTATTGTTAAAAAATTCATGGAATGGGTGGGTAAAGAGAAGAATCAAGAAAACACTCAGTGTATAAAAAAAAGGTACAATCACATTGGGATTTTGTTTCCTTAGGTGTATATGTATGTGTATGCATACAAATTTACACATATATAAATATAGAAGTTATACATTTTATCACAGTTGAAAATATATAATGTATAATATGCACATGTATAATATCAGATATGGAGAAATATTATATGTAGAGTGCATTTTATGATTTAGAAAAAATTATTACCAGACCCTGGTTTTGATTCTCAACACTGCAAATAAACCAAACAAAAACAAGAAAATCATTAAAGCAGTACACTGCCATCTTTATAACATACAAAAACATCAAAGAAAACATTTTTAAAATGGTTATTAATGTACCCCCAACCTAATTTAATAGGCCTGCACATCTTGTATATGTGTCTTATACCTCTTTTTCAAGGAATATTTTGAGATTCATACACACATTTATAATAGTACTACTCAGTGAGATGTTGGAGCCAGTGAGCACCAGAGAATTGTTAATTTTCAGAAATATTGAGAGACAGATGACATCACATTGAGAGATTGAACTTTGCCATGTGGGAATATTTGCACCCCAGAAACTGGCAAATGCTACAAATCATAACTTTATATTTTTGTTTGAAGAATTAGATATTCCATATTTTACCAACACATAATTGGTCCTAGTTTGCTTAGTTTAACTGCTACTTTTTTGGATGAGTAAAACGCATAAATATTTAGATCTTTCCCACATTGAACTCTTACAAATAGTGCTGAGTTCAACATTCCTGTATATATCTCCTTGGTCACATTCAGAAGAATGATTTAAATGCAGAAATCTGGAAGTGGAATTGTGAGTGCTGAAATTTTTACATTTTCAACTTTTCTGAATAACAAATCATTTTCTAAAATCATTCCAACAGTTTAAGCTGTGACCTGTAATTTATTGGTTTTTGTTTCCCATATCTAGTCCTCTGAAATGATATTTCAAGTGTTATAAAAGGGTACCAGGGATATTTAGCATTTCCCGGACAGGAAATGAGGTTGAAAGTCATGACCCATTTCTTTCCAAGAAAAATTATGGCTTTTTGTTTTATTTCATCTGTCTTTGACATATAGAATGTTTAAAATTCAGATTTATGATCTCCTTACATGAGTATTAGACATACACATTTTCTCTTTTTATAGCCTGTCCATTTTTTGATTGGGTTGTTTATCTTTTTTCTTATTGAACAATAGAAGATCTTTACATATCCTGGCTGTTTATCTTTTGATGGTTATTTCTTTGACAAATATCATATCACAATTCATGGCTTGCTTTTTTTTCCCACTCTATTTATAATGTCTTTCAACATATAGAAGTTATAAATTTTATTATACTTGAAAATTGCAATCATTCCCTATATAGTTTATGCTTACTTGTCTTGTGTTAGGTATCCTGATATCATGAATATGTTTTCCAAGTTTTCATTTTGAAAGTTGACAGGCATGCTTTTAACATTTAGGCTCTTTTGATTACTTCTGGAAAATGTATAAATTGGCTGTCATTAATGCCAAAGAGATAGGAGCTTGCAAAAATAGAGATTTTGTGTTGACTCTAAATTATTCATCAGTCATAATTGTCATTCTGTGGTAAATACACGTTTCCTGTTTGGAATGAAGAGATGCATCCTGATCTCCTATTGAAACAAAGAGAACAGCACATGCAGTGTATTATAAAGGTTAAAAGAAGGTGGTACATACCCTTTGGGAGGATGGGGATAGTGAGTGACTTTTACTGGAGTCATTAACTCTTGTTAATTCATAAATAGCAACTTTTTGGAAATCTGAGATAGTTAGTAAAATCATGTCATGCTTAAACCCTTTAAAGAATACCAGTGTTTATATCCATTTCCTGATTGAATGACAATGGTAAAAAATTATGGATCCACACAGACATTTTCCTTCTAATTTAGCAGCAAGAATAATTTATCATAGATACTGCTTGCTAAGATGCTTTGGATTTATAGAAAGGTGAAGAACCTGTTTTTAAAGATTGGTTTTTGTTTGCAGAGACGAAATGGAGAAGATATACCTGTAGCCCAGACTAAGAACATCAATCACAGAAGATTTGCTGCTTCCTTTAGATTGCAAGAAGTGACAAAAACTGATCAGGATTTGTATCGCTGTGTGACTCAGTCAGAACGAGGTTCTGGTGTGTCCAATTTTGCTCAACTTATTGTGAGAGGTAAAATTGTTTTCACTTCATGAAATTTCATGTCTTTATTAGAAATAAAAACAACTCTGTACACATTTTGATTCATTTTAAACCACAGTGATTTTCATGGCAAGTCAGTATAAAAATCATGTCATTATAAAAGTTCAGATAATGTATTAAGTTACAATTAAGATGCTATTTGCAATGTTTGTCATGAAGTCTGCAAGTGTTTCTCATCAAAAGGGATGTGCTTTATAATGCTTTAATAGGACAAAACATTTTAAATATCTCACTCTGTATTACTATCATACGTTCACATTTTAACATTAGAACCATTTTTTTTCTTGTTTAAATCCTTTCTGCTGATATTACTGCAATGACTTGTTGTTTTTTGATGCCCTGTGGCAGTGAGGTCAAGGTCAAAGGTTCTATTCTGATATAGACCTGTATAGTTTACTGGTATAAAACCCCAGTATTAAATATTTACTAATTATGGTCTCCTACTCAATCTTAAAAAATTAGAACTTATTACAGGAATGTGAAGGATTGGATGTATCAGTATGTATCTGTAATGAATCCTACGAAATAATGCAAATATATAAAACATTACATTTAATCAAAATTTACTAAGTCCCTGTTATTTCCCAGGCATTGTTCTACCCCAGAGGATATGATTGTAAATGAAAACAAAGTTCTACATTGGATTAACATTTTGTTACTTTTAGCTACCCTTTGTACAAAGATATTGAAAATGCCCTGTCAGATCCTGGCAAGTGTTATGAAGGAAAAGACAGAAAGTGATGGAGATTGATATTTTAGTTACAGTGATTTAGAAGATGTCCTTGAGAAGGTGACAACTGAGCTGAAACCTTAAAAAAAAAGAAGACGACGACGACTTCAGCTATATAAAAAATTTAGAGGAAAAGCAGCTTTGTTGAATAGGGTATCAAACATCAGTCAATATTGACACAAATGAAAATAATGATGCATTTCCTAAGTCTCTCCGTGGACAATTTTAAGAAATTATAATAAAACCATCTGAACTGGACTGAGATTTTTGTGAAGAATCTGGGAAGGCATTTGTGAATGAGTAGGATCTGAAGGCTGAGAGAAAGTTGCCCAGATGAGGGGTATGGATATTGGGGCAGTGGTAAGACCCAGAAGCACCAAGGCCTAAATAGCCCAGCATATGACAAGGTTCAGGTGCTGGAATGAAATATATGCTATATATCCATATTCAAATTACTCTATTTTATAATACTTGACATAAAATGACTTTTACATGCATTATTTCACGATTTACTTGATTTTAATATTTAACCTTTGGTAATTATAGAAAGAAGGAAATTGAAATGCAGGTTATTTGAGAGTTTGCCCAGAGCCACAAAAATCTAATAATCGATGCAGCTAGAATATACATCCATGTTTCTTATCTTCGAATGGCGAGCTCTTTCTTTTCCAATTCAGTATTCTCTCATATTAACATTATCAAATAATCCTATTAGCCTCTTTATATACCTCTGTTTTAGGAACCATGAGAGCTCATTTTTTTTTAAATGTTTATAGGCTGAAAATTCTCTGATATCTCCATAGTCAGGTCATATCACCTGCACAAGTTCATAGAATTACAGCCTCATTTATTAAAGGACAACAAAATACGATAATACTTGAATCTAAGGTTCAAACAGAGAAACCATTTATCTTGTGTTCATATATGAGTATATATTCACCTTTGTGGAATTTTGTTCCAGCTTTTCTAACTGAACCTGAATTTAACAGCTGAAGGTGTCCTTCAGGGTGATTATTGTGCTGTGGCTACAGAGATGAGGTGTGTCACTGGATCACCATGCTTCCCTTATCCCCAAAGTGTTATATGAGCTCACCCAGCATGCAGCCATGAAGGAAATGCTGTCGTGACAGTGCATTTTGAGTGCTTTTAGATACTTTTGCATAATACCTGTAGTTACATATGCTAAATTGTATTGTATTACATTATGTATAGTTAATACATAAGCTTTTTTTAGGAAATAGAAGAGAGTATTGATGTTTTTATTCAAATTTCCTCCTTATTTGTCCAAATCATTCTTTTGTGTGAACATTTTTGCCTTTTATATTTTAAAAAGGAACTATTTTGTCATTGTTAGAACTCTCTAGTTTATCTTTATTTGGGGGAGGCAGTATGGATTGTCAAACCCAGGGCTTCAAGGTGCTAAGCAGGTGCTCTGCCAAACAGGAATCTCTCCACCACTCCTTGCTTATCTTAATTAGCAAGTAAGTTTTATCATTTTATTGAATGATAAATCGCTTTACCTAGAAACAACAAAATATTTCAATAAATTTTTTTAAAAGGGTGATTCTTAAATGTCATCAAGAATTTTGTCCTTTTCTTCTTCTTTTTTTTTTTTAAAGAAAGTTCTTTTACTTACTATATATTTCAATTTAGAATTAATGTTAGAAAGGTTGGGTTAAAACATAATGGGGATTTGGATGTGTTATTCACAGTCTGCCTACATTGTGGAAATATATTTTGATAGTTTTGACAGTTTTATTTAGTTTTTTCAATAGAGTTTAGGGTCTATATCAAATATTTACAGGTGATACTTTGCTTTCTCTTTTATTTGAAATCCAATGTAGAGGAGGAATAAGCTTTCTTGTTTGTGCAGATAACCACCAAATAAATATTGCTAACCAAAAGCATACCCTTGGGGGTTAGCTGTCCTGGTGTTGAAACAGTGCTGAGAATTAACTATGATGACAGGTCCTATCGCTCATTGGCACTTTTAAAGCTGACATCCTGTTACATGGATACAAAAGATGGTAATTTTAAAGGAAATTTTTGGGGCAGTGATATGAATACTCTTTAATAAGAGCTGGCATAGTATTGCCTGTTGTCAAAGATGACCCATGGGTAAGAGTTTATTAGTGCATTTTCTCTTAAACTGAAAGTGACAGGGTGTGCTTAAGGCTTTTTTTTGTTGTTGCTGTTTGTTATAAATGAAAATTTCCCTGCAAAATTCTCATGCTGAAGAGTATCGATCTCTGTGTTCCCATAGCCACAGGAAGAACAAGAAAACACGGTGAGACAGAATTTACTTTGTCATGCCTTAACGTTGCTTCCAGATCGTTCTGAGTAATGATAAAGTCTGAAGCTTGTGGGAGCCAATCTTTATTGACAAAGTTTTTATAGAGATGAGGTGAAGAACACACATTTTTGCTCAATGATTTCTCAAAATTGAAGTAGAGAGGATGTGAAATACATGAGGGGGGGGCTGTGGTTTACCAGCTTCCTACTGAAAACACCAAGTTTGTAGTCTAATTATTTTACTGATAGTTTTGCTCAATCTCTACTTGATTTATGATCTTTCTCTACTTGTCTATATCAATGACCCACTTACATCACTAACCAACTGACCTACAATAAACTTCTATGAAGTTCTCTGCTAGAATAATTTCTATTCTGAATTGTTTGCTATATTGTTACATCAACCATTTTTACCTGTAAAAGTATAACCATTATCTGTAAAGAACATTTTTGGTTCTTTAATTTGAAAAGTACAGCTTTTTGTGTATCATTGTTAATGGTTGATTATTACATTTTACTCTTCACTATTAGCCATTATCAAATGCTCTGGACACAAAAGTATTCAGTAGTATACTTATCTATCTCTAATTATGACAGTGACATCTAGCTGCAAATTGGATTAGATATAAATCTGTCTACCCAATATTATGCAAAATAGATACCAAATTTACTTAGAGTTGTTTAATATTGTAAGAAATTGAGTGATGTTGATACTGCCCTTTGTAAGACAATATAAGCCTGCTGAAAAACAAGAGTGTTTATTGACTTTTGTGATTAGGACATTCAGAAGTGATTTCAGGGTTGTTAGATTCAATCTTTCAGGATCTGTGTCTTTGAAGTTCTTCACATTGTAGTCAGTGATTCTGGATTCCTTCCTAAGCTAAGCTCATCCCATAGTCATAGCACAGAAATAGGTTTCATGCTTTCTTGGGCTCATGCAGTTAGAGTAAAGAGGACTCTACTTTACATAACTATCCAGATAAAGAAATGAAGAGGAAAAAAGGGAGGGAGTGAGTGAAGGAGGATGAGATGGAGAAAGGAAAGAAGGAAAATTGTTGGAGAGAGAACTAGAATGTTCAGTAGAGTACTTTTGTACACAGGTGTCCAGAGTATTGGTATTGAGAGGTAGTTCTTCATTCCATTTGGTGAGATAGTAATTGAACAAATGTTTCAAGAGAAGGAACAGCTCAATCTCAATAGACATACAGACTAGAATATGGTGACATTGGAGAAGGGTGTTATTCTGTGTCAAGCAACAGTATCGGTCATTAGGTTATCAGTGGGGTTGTTTGGTGAATGGGGCCTATCAATGAAATCACTTACTTGGTACAAATTAACCAGTACACTAGTAAAGAAAAAGAGAAGTCCAAACTGCCACAAGATTTCATGTGAATTTTTAAGACAGCTTTTGGTCTGATATTTTTGGGTTTTATTTTATCAGCACCTGACTGTCTAGTTCACCTTTTTTTTCTTAACTTCAACACCTAGTTCAATATTTATATCAAGATAATCAATACTTTTTTCAAAATTAACAAATACACTTGTATAGTTGAAGGCAGAGTGATCATGCTGACCCTGGAAGACGTAGGGCACAGTCGATGAACCACATATCCTCCCCCAACCTATAGAGGGAGCCAAGATAGTTTTTAGTGTCTGACCCAGTCTCTTTCCTTTCTCAAATGAAGTAGTAAGAGTGATTGTAAGTTGAGCATGAAATACTTTTCCCTTAAAAAATAATATTGGTTTGACCAGTATTCTAGTGTAGTAGTCTAGTCTTTCTGTACCTAGCAGTTAAAAGTCAAGTCTGAGTATTTCATTTTTATATAAGCAACCAAGACTTTTGGAAAGTGGAAAACATGACATACTTAACTAACACTTTCGATAGCTGATGTCTAAAGTCCATGGGATTTCTAGCTTTGGACCTTCAGCATTCTGTTTAATGCAGTTC